TATAAATGCCGCTTCGGCTGCTTTTCTAATAGGCCCGGGCAGCGCTTATCGAACAGCACTGCGGATCCGAAGGTTGGGACTTTAATTGTGAAAAACCGCCCGCCCGCCGCAAAACGCAAACACCGCAAAACGCGGAAAACGCACGCCCAAAACGCCAACGCAAATGCCGCAAAAAAACAAAAAAATCGCCCGCCCGCCGAAAACCGCAGAAAAAATCAAAAAACGCCGCAAAAAATCAAACCGCCCGCATCGCACGCCAAAAAACGCCCGTCCGCCGCAAAACGCGAACACCGCAAAAAAAACGCAAACACCGCCGCCGCAAAAAAAACGCCCGCTGCCAACCGCAAAAAACGGCCGCCCGCCGCTAACCGCAAAACGCCGCAAAAAACGGCCGCCCGCCGCTAACCGCAAAACGCCGCAAAAAAACGGCCGCCCGCCGGCAACCGCAAAACGCTGCAAAAAACGGCCGCCTGACGCAAACCGCAAAACACCGCAAAAAAACGGCCGCCCGCCGGCAACCGCAAACCGCAAAAAGGCGCCCGCCTCAAACCGCCGCAAAAAACGGCCGCCCGCCGCAAACCGCCGCCCGCCGCCGAACACCGCAAAAACGCAAATACCGCCGCAAAAAACGCCCGCCCGCCGCCAACCGCAAAACGCCGCAAAAACGGCCGCCCGCCGCGAAACGCAAACACCACAAAAAAAACGGAAAAAACGCCCGCCCGCCACCAAATGCAAACACCAAAAAAAAAAAACCCGCAAACACCGCCGCAAAAAAAACACGCCGTCCGCAAAACGTAAACACTGACCTATTAAGACAAATATGGCGCCGTGCGGGAAGTGTGGTGCATTCATTTCTGCCGTTAAAGCAGCCACCCTCAATCAAAGCGCATCCTCGGATTTTCCACGAGGTTCCCCCATCAAACACGTTTCCATGTGGCACGTGCTTTTCAATCGCCCCATATCTGACCCATACCAGCTGCCGGACATTGGTCACGTGACCACATTTTCCGTGTGACCTTGAGTTGGCACCAGATTTTGTCGACAGATGTGGCGCAGCTTATTTTACTGCATTATTTTATATACTAAATATTTAGACGTGTGGTGGTAAATGATACCGTGCAAATACTATTGAATCATCGGTGACATAGTTACCATTGAAACTTGAATAGCATCAATAAAATACAATTAAACTATTATTAATCTTTCATTGATTTTATTGTGTTTGCAGGCATAGGTAGAAACTGAAGAGCTGAGCCTGCAGCTTACAGTTGTTCTAAACTTTATGCATGAATCAAGGCTACTGAGGGCTGCAAATTTGTTCCACTTATCTTTAATAACTTATACCCTACCTTCATCAACCATTATCTGTAAGAATCTTGCATCAATCATCACCAGACTTATAAGTTTTTTTTACATACCTTCGCCCCGGCCGCGAGAGTGGGGGGGTACGACTCCCTCGCCCTAATTGAGCTAGCCTGGCGGAAAAAACAAGCATGTGTACTGTTACGGGACCGCCGACGCAGTGATTTATGCACGGTTTAAAAGTCTCAGGTCAACTAATTGCCTCTGAGGGTCAGGTCAAGTGCCCCGAGGGCCAAAATACGATTTCGGGTTTTGAAAAATAACTTTGCCAAAAAACGGCGCTGAATCGCGATTTTAGTACCATCATGTTTGTCATGCTGCGGTGCGTCAAATAGTACACTTTTGTTTGGGTGGGGTCAACATAAGGTGTTCACATCGGGTCAAAGTCAGGTCAAAGGCACTCAGGTCACGAAGTTGGTCGGAGGAGGTTATATCGTATATCATTCGATTCGGTAGGTCTTCCCGAGTCCATTGGCGACTTTTCCGACTTGCCAGTTCAATTTTATCAGGAGTTATTGACGAAAAAACTTGTGACCTTTGTGACGTCATAAATGACGTCACGCTAGGTTAAAGATGCAAAAGTGAAGCATTGGACATTGCAAGAAGTGCATGAAATTGCGATTCCACGTGCTTGAGCTAGGTTTAGATCATTCTCGGCGTCAAAATTACAGTTTCCATATTTTCCCCATTGACTTGTAATGGTGACGTCACGCGATCGGCCTGACCTCATGTGACCTCTAGGAGAAATCCTAGATATACAAGTTTTGAGACTTCTGGAGGATACTAGGTCCTGTGAGTATCATCTCGCTGAGACAGCTCCTCTGGCACCGAGGGCATAGCGAAGTTTCGGTATTTTGGGACTATTGCAGAGGTTCACGTGTGACGTCATAAGTCAGTGATCTGACCTGAAACGGAAATGCAGTTGGTTTCCAAAGATGCGTATGGAAGCAAAGATAAGGTGTGCTAAATAGCAGCCCTCTGGCTGTAAGGTGTTTTGAGCTATCGCCAAAAGTCGTCAGTGGAGCGCTACTGACTCCTCCGGTCGGCCGCCGGGGGTTAGGAGGCGTGCAGGGTATCGGAAAACCACCTGGTACTTAGCGAATTTTGCCGATAAAAATACGTTTCTTATGCTGACGTATAGCCAAAAGACGACTGAATCTCAAACCAGTCGTATCCTTGCACTAAATGGCTTGGTTTAGACACGATAGGTCTGAAAAGAAAAGGTCCCATGTAATCTCTATGGGCGCCGCGAGGCCGTTGGCACCAGAGTTTCGGGAAGTGCCCTCGCCACAACCGCACGTGCAGATTTGGTCACGTGACCAAGCGCATTTGCCGCCACTGTATTTATATACACTGTGACCCATACCATGTGGTAGCCGTATAAAAATGTCTTATTGTATTGCCCGGCAACGGTCTGTCCTGGCACGTGGCATAATTTTGGAGATAGGTATATCCTGTATGCTATTTTCGTGTAGTAATGAATAGGTACAACAAACACTAAGAATAGCTTGAGATAGCGGGATACGTTTAGTGAGATGGTTGCGTGCGAGAGTTATTTTTAACAACAATTAGCTGCTAGAAACGTGCTGGGTATCAACAATTATCAAGCGTCCAGAAGTCTCATTATAAAGCGCAATACAAGTCGTACATTTATGATCGTATGAGACGTTCTGCATTGATCTTATAACCACTTTTCAAACAGACAAAATAGCAACTAAAAAAGTAATTATGCAGCGAACTATGTGAACTTCATTCGACGTCAGGCAACCATCTCTCCGGGGGCGCCACGAGGAGGCATCCCACAGTGTGGCATATCGGCAAACACAGATCTGCTGTAGCAGGTGAATATTATTTACCCTGCCGATGGCATTGGCAGCAATAGCCGATATTCCCACTGTCCGCCCCCATAAATTTTGCCTGTGGCAATGCAAGCCACTCCATTCATTATGAATGGTTTACCTTATTGTTCAACATCAAAACTAATAATGGGTCAGCTACTCAGGACGAGTCAGCAGCACCTAGCCTTACGTAGCATACATTGCTTTTTTGCGAATAGTTGATGAATGCGTCTATAGCTTCAATTTAAAATTGGACGCCATTTACCCCAAGAAAAACTTTTAAAAGAATATTACTCAATTAGATAGTGACTACTTCAAATTTGGCGAAAAGTTTGCTGAATGGATGCCAATGAGATAGGTCATTAGAACGCTTCTTTGAAGTTTCAGATTTAGACATTGCAGCCACTAAAAACGGTTATATAGGGGATCAAAACCCAAACGGAGCTAGGAATCTGATGCAACTCTCTTTTGTACCTTTCTTGACGTAATTACACTTAGTTTGCATGATACGTTCGTGGAACTGGTTAAGATAAACTTATTATATTACTGACACGTTTATATTGGGGGATCAAAAGCCGAACGGAGATAACAGCCTGATGCAGCTGGTCATTGTACGTTTCTTGACGTAATTAGGATTAGCTTTCAAAAGAAATGGAACTGGTTCAAGTGTACATTTTTGCCCAAAGTCCAAGATATTGACGCCCCAAAACCTGCCATAACCAACAAATTTAACTAAAGAAGAAATGAGGTACATGCATTCTCAAATAGACCATGCGAGCACACATGCAGTACATGAAAGCACGTAAGTTTTTTTATTTTTTGAGGGTGGCATGCAAGCACGGAAAGTTTTTTTTTGTGGAAAATGGCATGTGACTCAGGGCTGCGGAGTCGATGGATTTTCGGCGACTCTGACTCCGACTCCGACTTTCAAAAACCAACTCCGACCCCGACTCCGACTCCGCGCAGAACTGTCGACTCCGACCGACTCCAACTCCCGACTCCGACTCCGCAGCACTGCCAGGACTGCGGAGTCGATTGATTTTCGGTGACTCCAACTCCGACTCCAGATCCGGTTTCCAAAATCGACTCCGACTCCGACTCGACTCCGGGCAGATCTGACGACTCCGACCGACTCAGACTCCGCAGCCCTGATGTGACTCAGGGCTGCGGAGTCGATGGATTTTCGGCGACTCTGACTCCGACTTTCAAAAACAACTCCGACCCCGACTCCGACTCCGCGCAGAACTGTCGACTCCGACCAACTCCAACTCCCGACTCCGACTCCGCAGCGCTGCCAGGACTGCGGAGTCGATTGATTTTCGGTGACTCCAACTCCGACTCCAGATCCGGTTCCAAAATCGACTCCGACTCGACTCCGGGCAGATCTGTCGACTCCGACCGACTCCGACTCCGCAGCCCTGAATTGTGACTCAGGGCTGCGGAGTCGATGGATTTTCGGCGACTCTCACTCCGACTCCGACTTTCAAAAACAACTCCGACCCCGACTCCGACTCCGCGCAGAAGTGTCGACTCCGACCGACTCCAACTCCCGACTCCGACGCCGCAGCACTGCCAGGACAGCGGAGTCGATTGATTTTCGGTGACTCAAACTCCGACTCCAGATCCGGTTTCCAAAATCGACTCCGACTCCGACTCCGCAGCCCTGCGCAGCACACATGCAATCGTACACGCAAGCACATATATATTAAAAAAAAAATGAATCTAAGGTGGCATGCAAGCACACATGCAAGACATGCAAGCACGGAAAGTTTTTTTTTTGTTTTTTTTTGTTTTTAATGGAAAATGACACGCAAGCACAAATGCAATCTCTGAGTGTTGGAATTGGAATAGATTGCTTAATGTCGTTTCGTTTTTAGCCTACCTAAGGTTCAGTAAACCCCTCATTTAATTACGGCGACGGGGTGAGGGATAGCAGTCTCCAGGCAGAACTTACGTCACCTTCCCACTATCCGTCTACCTACTTCATTCGATCTAACCTAATTTACCTAAGGGCCTCGCCCGCCATCCCCGGCGAACCGGGGAGCTGTGACTAGCCGTGACGATTCAAAGATCTAATATTCATCCCACGCCTGGGCAAGGTTCCGTAAGTTCATACCTTGGAGACTGCTATGGGACGGAAAATAATGAGCGGGGACAGTGCAGCAAGCACACATGCAATCTCTGAGTGTTGGAATTAGAATAGATTGCGTAATGTCGTTTCGTTTTTAGCCTACCTAAGGTTCAGTAAACCCCCTCATTGGTTAATTAAGGCGACAGGGTGGGGAATAGCAGTCTCCAGGCAGAGCTTATGTTACCTCTCCACTAACCACCTACCTATATATGTCGGCTTCACCAGCAAGGACTCGGCGAACCAAGTCTCGCCCGGATCACCCGCTATGTTACGAGCTAACGCAGCTCCCACGCCTGGACAAGGTTCCGTAAGCTCACACCTTGGAGACTGCTATGGGAGAAGAACAATGAGCGGGGACAGTGCAGCCTCGAGATTTTTCACCTATGTACTTATTTTCAGGCTCTTTACATCCTCCTACCTAGGTATAATAGAATGAACGCCTAGCGACCTAGTACCACTTTTTTGACAGCTTCCTACCAGCGACGCGTATTGACCAGCTGGTGCAAACACCATGAGCGTTATTAATGGCACCGGACCAGCGTAAAAATGTGCAGTTGTGCACTGCTGATGGGTGTGTTAAGGAAAGAAACTCCGGAAGCTCCTACGGTAGAAAGGGCTAAGGGCAGAAAGAAAGAAATACCGGTTGGCCTAGGCCTCCCAGACCCCGAATTCAACACCGACCTAACTGTGTGATATTCTGCTTCCGAACACGTAACGTAACCACCTTGTGGAGCCCATTGACACGCGCGTGACATAGTGTCGGTCGTATTCTATCCGATGAAAAGATAGCATTACTGTGCAGGCCTACCAGTTTTGCGACCCCGCTTGGCGGGTCGTCCGCGACTAACTGAAGTGGACGCTGGCCTTTTAGCCCCGGTTGAAGACCGCTTACGCTTGGGAACGCTCATCTCTAGCTGTCTGTGTTTGGACTGAGTCAAATAGATGGGCCTGGCGAGTATCAGGCTTTCTTCTGTAGCTAACATTTTGTTTATAACCGCTACGACTTCCACCATTTCTACATGTCTGCCGGATGCAGCGAGACATTGCAAAACAATTTCACCTACGTCCTGAACATGATGCTGTCTCCACGCCCTGTGTACGTAATCTGCAATCAAATTTTGCTCCCGTGACCATTCAGCTCCGCCCTCTATCTCTACGTAAAGACGCCACGTTTTGGCGGCATTAATGCGCATTTGGCGCTCAAAAATTTCTGCTTCAATGACGTCATCATTAAGGCGCTGAACATTTATTTCCTGCGCGGTAGGCCATTCTGTCTCAGGAATGTACATGTGCTTTGGATGTTTAACGCGCGAAACTACGACAGTCCAAAAGCCCGGATTGCCCACCCATTCCTTTACTTTAACTTCTACCCGAGACAAAGTGGCACCCTGGCCTTTAAAGCCGGTAAACGCGCTGCCCCCCTCGAGCGGAAAACCTACGCGAAATTCAGAACAGTTATCTTCAGAAACAGCGCTGCCCTTTTTGCGAGATGCACGGCCGCGTTTCACTGCACGGATGGGAACAAGATCATCTGCGTCTTCTATGCCTAGAACGTTTTGACCACCGTTGGCGGTATAGCCAGGAACACGAACGACAATAAACTCGGGCAAATGAGGCGCACACTTTGGTGTGCGCAAAACTAGCTTAACAGGGTCCGCGGTGGCCACTAGTTCATCCAGACAGTTGCCCTCTAAATCATTGCCATTTACTTTAACGATGACGCTTCCCACCGGCACCTGATAAACGTTTTCCCTATCTGAGTGGGGCGTGTCGATAGGCTCCACAAGTGTCACACCTTCAACACGTACTTTTTCCGCAAAGTCGCGACGGCTAATAGTCACGAGCAAATCATCTTCTAGATATAGGGGACCCACAAACTCTACCTGAGACCCGTTAAATAGCCCGAAGCTGGGTGCTACATTTTCTAGCAGCATCAGCGGCAGACCCCTACACGCAAAGAGAACCGAAGGCACCGCGCGAAACTCTTTTGCCGATAATTTTTGTAATTTCTGAGCCTTCCTGGCTGGCATGTGCTGTGAATTTACGGCCATGACGTGAGCGCTCCTATCTGCAGCAAAATTAACCAGAGCACGAGCATTATCAGATTCTACTGTTGAACGGTTTGCAGCCCACTCACTAAACCAGTGATACCCATGTAACGTTATAGCACATTTCCACGCAGGATCGGCAGACATGTCCTCAGTTGTGGCACAGTTTTCCTTGAGCCACTGAATTTTATCCGGGGTGGCCTTACCGTATCTCATAGACGGAAGAATCTCCTTAGTAAATTTTGCGGCTACCTCGTCATTTTCAACAGTACGACGCACCTCATTTAAATAAACAGTTTCATAGTCGCCGTCGTACGCGGCGGCGCGAAAACGAGATACTTCCGCACGAACGCGGTCACTAAGATCAGCGCGGTTTACACCTAGCGTTTTTCTCCACGTTTCATACCCTGGCAAAGTGTCCAGCGCCGGCATTCTGAATAATTCACGGAAAGCTGCCATACCCAAAATAGACGCCTCACAGCATGCATTACCGTCATCCGAGCGCTGACGCAAGCTCCAAATAGGAACATCCCCGATTGGAAAAATTTGCGCTGGATCACCGACAAACAGGACACCTATGTGATCCATGTTAACACCTGCCTGACCGAGACGCTGCATTACCCAACGCATCATGCGACGCTGAATCATTGAAAACTCGTCAAAAATTATCAAGCCTAGCTCAGTACTAAGGCTATCACAAAGTTGCGAAAAGCGACGGCTATCCTCGGCCAGCGGCTCGTCCCCTGTTTGGCCCACGCTGATGGCGTATAAACGATGGATGGTAGTGGCGCCGTGCGCCATGTGAAAAGACGCACATCCTGTCGGTGCAGACAATTTAACTACATCTGTCCACTTGGCAAAATCATCACCTAACATTTCACTGAGCTGATGCACGGCCGAACGCAAAGTGAAAGATTTGCCGGCACCAGGATCTCCTAGCAGGAACGCGCGCAGTGCCTTCGGCGGCGTTTGCCGCAAGTCTACGATATCCGGTCTGACGGGTGGGACCTGACGCGATGAGCCCGCCAGACGCCACTGCTTCACCTGCCTATCGTATGAATCCCACTGGCGACGCGAGCAAGCAAATTCCCTCTGTTGCGTTAAATAGCGCTTTAAAACCGCCGACAGCACGCGCTGACGCCCTGAGAGGGCAGCCAGCGGTGCGTGTGCGACGTCTCCTGTACCGCTAGCGACTAGCCTACGATAATTGCGACGCACTAGGTCGGGATTAACTGGCCTGTCTCCTAGCCAGTCTGCCTGAAAATCAAAACCAGCCGGATTGGCAATGCCGGCCGCGGCCACCCCTGGTACGCAATTTGCTTCCCCATCATCCGCCGACCTATCATCCCCCCGATTACCTAGCATGGCGTCTAGAGCCGTCTGATAAAAACGATCGGGCAAACGCGTCGCATTCGCCTCCGGCTCCACTGGTTCATTTTGTTCTAAAACAACTTGATCTTCGGGATCGGGGTCGTCGCTATCCGACGACTCGGACGCACTCGAATCGTCGTTGGCGTCAGACGGATGAAAATGATTATGATACCGCCGCACAAAAGCCGGAACGTCTAAGCCTGTTGACAGCAGACGATGGTACCTACAGATCCAATGGATGCACACCTCAGCCGGTGAAGCCTGCTGAGACGGCATCAGGTCCTCTGCGAGCAAGCAGGGTTCACACCAAAGAACAATATCGCGGGCGTATTTCCAGAAGCCCTGCCTGGACGGATTGGCGCTACTTTTACCGTAGTGTGGCGTCAGACGGACGCACACACGTGACCCGCAAACCTGGTGACGCCGACGGCCAATTGTCATTACCTTTTGATCACCTATCTTTTTCTCAGAGACTACAAAAGTATCAAAAAATTGACGAACCGACATAACGCGCTGAAACTCGTCGGCAGCTATGCCGCCATGATGCACATTATCATTTAGACGCGCGTTGAAATGCTCCAGACGGCTAGCAAACACATATTCTCCGGCATCTTCCGCAGAAATTGGCCGCAGAAGGCGAGTACCACTAAAGCCGAAACCGCGCGCGCGAATATTCCTATACAGCAGAGGCAGCTGCCAATTTTTGTGCATTGCCTGAAAGATTGACTGACACCTTGCCGACGAAACTGCATTGTACATTCGCATGACTACGCCAGCGTCTATATTTGCGGTGGCGCCGCGCGTCTCCAGAGCCGTAAGAAGAACATCGGCCGGAGTTCGCACGGGAGCAACTGGCTTAAAGCCGTACTTTAGCGCGTATTCTACGTTAGCATCACCTGACCCAATTGCCAACTGCATTGTGAAAGAAAAGGCTACACCATCGTCTGTAGTTACGCTTTCCCAAACGACAGACGGCGGCCGCGCCAGCCACGCCGGCACGACCGCTTTATCGTCTACGTTATTCAAAATGTGCAAGACGGCGAATGGATCATGCCCTCCCATCCACACGTCATTGCACGCCGTTTCACACTGTTTTATACGCCTATCGTGAGAGTCTGACGCAACGACCGATTCAGTCCGGAGACGACGAGGCATCCGCCTTTTGCACCGAACAACCTCTTTCTTCACTGGTGCCGCGTTAGGATTTACTCTACGTGCTTCCGCGGTGGCTGCCTTGTCGACTTTCAGACGTTTAACTGCGCATCCGTCTTTCAGCGACGGTGCCGTACCCCTACCGCTGTGGCCCGTGTGGCGAAGTGTGCCGTTAATTACGCTCACATACAGCTGGTCAATATAAGCAAAGTCACCGGAGGACATGGCCCTATCGAGCTCGGCGGCCATTCGCGCGCGACAAACGGTTGTTTTCCTATCGTAGGCAAATTCAAATGTGCGCCGACCACCCTTAGTAAAGCCCGCGTTCCAATTTGTGTACATGTTCTCAATGCGCCTAATGTATGACTGCTGACAACACTGCCACGCCGCGCGCACCTGTGTCTCGACCGCGCTGCGGGACGTGTCCCGTGCCAGCGTTGGGTCCTCGTTGCGCGCCGCGCGGTCAATCCTTTCAGCCTCAATGCGAAGTTGAACCTGAAGACGATGCAAGAAAGTAGAAAACGATTCACTAATTATATTACGGTGAATGTGAGGATTGGCGTTCGCGCCCCACTCCGCACGCACAATATGATACGTGGCGGAGTAACGCACGCGCGCCAACGCAAGGGTGTCCATTTCCCCAATGAACGCTGTGACCCACGAAACGATGCCCGGGTGCTTAAGGGTGTTGGCAAATCGAGCGTGTAAATACTGCTCGTCACTAAGTGTTTCGCTGGCGGCTGCGCCGTCAGACAGACGATGAATAGCGGGATGGTGATTATACGGGACGGCCCTAGTTTGCCAAAGATGAACAATGAGCGGAATGTCACCAACCCGCCATGACGGCGGGTCTTCTAGATCACGAATAGCGCCTATCATTTCGTGCTTGTGTGCACGCCAAAATGCATCCGAATCATCCAATTTTGTTTGAAAACAGAGCAGAGAGCGAGCCAGCGTGCGGCACAATTGGGGATCGTCTACTAGCTGCTGTTTTGTGGGGAGACCATCTGGAAAATCGGTCAGATTTAGAGCGACGGTGGCATCGCGATTTGAACAGTCCCTACTCTTTTGGTTGCTTATTACAAATTGTAGCTCAACGTTACCCTCGGATTCTGGCTGCTGGGCTAGCCAGTGCAAATATGTCTGACGCCAAGTCGTTATCGGTTGGCGAATAAGAACAGGCCGCTCCTGAAACGGGTCGGCATCACCAGTTAAAAAGACGTCTGGAAAACAGAGCTGAAAATAGCCGGGCGTCCACTCCGGCAATGGATGCTCGCGGTCGGCCGGAGGCATGCTAATACGGTGCAAGGCTGTCTGTGCCAGTCCTCGCTGACGAATGTCCTCCGGCCGTTCACTTTCGGGTGCGGCAACGCCGCCTACCGCCACGCCGCTGGCTCCGCCCTCGTCATTACCAAATTCACGGCTTAGAATTTCGAGTTCCTCGCAGCATATCAGCAGAAGCGTAGAACCGCGAGGAACAGTGCCTGCCGCCTCGTCTTCGACGGACGGCGCTAACAACCAGTGACGCTCCACCGCGCACTGAACTACGTGTCGTATCGTTACGTTAACATCGTCATCGTCTTCCGACGCGTCGTCCCGTGACTCCCTGACAGCATTACGAATTTCATCCCAAAGATTTTTCAAGCAAGCCTCGCTCGTGTCCGCGCCCTCGCCCCCGTGCTCCAGTGAGTAGCTGGTGCGGAGTATGTCCGCCATGGGAAAGCCCGACTCTAGCCAGTTAACAAACTGATTAAAATGTAAAACTTTATTGACGCGCGCGTGGACCTCATCTACGTTAAGTACGCGCAGACCGTGTGGCTGGCAGGGACGGTTGCGTTCGGGAAGGCGACTCTGAAGCTCGCGCAAATTTTCATTGGAAAATGGCACCCACTGCTCGGCCACGAAACGATAGAACGGCCGCGTGTTTCGCGGATTGTACTTACACGGCATTAGCCTTTCCATGAGGTGCCTAGCTTTTAGAATTGTCTCCATATTAACCATAGCCTCGCAATGGGTGCCGTCACGCCTGTTTTGCTGGACGACAATGAACGGCAGCTGGGTAAAATCGTACCAGGGCAGACGCGCGGCTTGGACGGGACGCTTCATGGGATAGCAAATTGATCCGTGCTTTGTGAAAGGTACGTTATTGGCCCTGGATCTGAGCACGGCAACAGTAAGATGAACGGGGCGCAGAATCATGGTTTCCGCACGGGTCCACGAATTAACAAAGAGACGGTACTCATCATCACCATAAACGTCAGTAGACATTAAGTTTCGTGCAGAATAGGGGCAAATGTGAGTCCGGGGACCATTTAGCTCCTCAGAATCCTGACTATCGCCGGCAACGTCTGCCATCTCGGCTGACGCACCGGCCTGTGAAGACGGCAGCGACTGGTCCGTGTCGGACACAAGTGGTCGCGGCACGATGTTATTTAAAGGGTCAATTTGGAATGAGGGGGAACACGTTACGCAGACGCCTAAGGCCTCGCGGTCGGTTAAAACGGTGCCGTTGGCACCGAAGAATTCCGGATCTAACCTAACCGTACACTTGTTATCTCTACGCAAAATTTCTGAATTTGACAGCGCGTCGTCTACGATACCTCCCGGCACGAGCTGGACCATGTTGCCGCGTTCCGGGACACGAACTACCCAGCCCGGATGCGGCAGCCCTGGCGTTTGTTTTTTACAAATGATGCAACGAACTTGACGAAGCGAATCATACACGGCATGCAAGTCTCTGAGCACCTGCAAAGAGCCTACGGTTAACTCTACCGACGGATCCTCGTGGTCAATGCCGTCCCCAATAGGATCGTGCCAAGCCTGACAACACTTGGCCTCGCGCGGAGTGGCCACCGTGAAGCGAGCGGCCGTGAAAGGTAAGTTCCGCATTGCCTGAAAACGTTTACGGCGCGACATTAAACCTACAGTTACTTTACCTACCGGTGAGGTCCGCGTCACGAGCGAGCCGCGGTCACGCCACACGACGGATCCCGAATCCCCGCGATGGCAGTAGGAGCCCATAATTTGATTTTCCTCCTTACAATCCCCAGAGTCAAGTACCCGCAATGTCTGTAGCCGGATGACGGCCGGCGGCAAATGGTCACCGAGCTCGCTGACAGCTAACGCTACCCATGTTGAGGGTTTCTCTTGGCGGCTGCACTGCGCAATGTCTATGGCTGTGCCGCAGGTAGTACCTACCAGACGGTCACAAGTGAACTTTATGCTTTGTTTCCCACCGGCGTAGGTGTAAGAGCCTAACGGATATTTGGCGGCAGCTCTGCCGTCTATCACGCGAAGTTTATCACATTCACAG